CGATGTTCTCTCTCATAGATGTTTGTATCTCTCTCTCCCTCTCTCTCTAAAATCAATAAAGAAAAAGAAATAGTAACCAGTGGGTTCCTATTGGTTGGGAGCTCCTCAGGGCTCAATCAGTCATCTTGAAATGAGGGGAACTGCCCTATCTCCTCTCAGGACTTCAGTCGCCACCCACTCCCTCGGCCTCTTGAGTCTTCACAACTCAGCTCAAGTTCTTTATAGTCTCTGGAAGCTTCTGGGATAACTTGATTCCTCAGCATTCTCTCCCCCTTTTAAAGTCGGTAACATTCACTTAGTGCCAGAAAGAAAAAAAAAAACGTGTAAGGGAGTTACCGTGTTGTCAGGCAGGCTCTCATCCTCGGCACTGTGGACACCTGGGCCAGACCATTCTTCGTATGGAGTGTCTTTCCCCAGTGTGACAACCCAAACGTCAAGGGACACACATTACCAAGTGTTCCAAGGACAAAACCACCTGTTGGTGCAGCCCTGTTCACACGTCATTCCACCCCATAGCAGCTCACGTTGCACGCTCTGTACAAACTGTGTTCAGTCAGAACCTTTACCTTCCTTCACTCAGCTCATTTATTTTTAACTTACTTTGTACTGCATCCTTAACTGTGCAAAGCACTTTAAACTTAAAAGAACCACACACACAAAAAAACAAGAAGGGTAATACACAAATACTCGTTTCTTCTTTTAAACCTTGTCACAACCCTTGACTGTATTAGCATTACCTTTTAACACTGAAGACTAGAGATCTCTGTCCGGTAACTGGACTCAAGTCCAAATAACAAATGGAGGAACGGACTCAAAATCGGGCCTAATTCCAAAGTCCACTGCATTTGGACGGCACAAAGCTCCTCTGTTTACTTTCTCTCCATAGACTCATCCTGTTACGCAACTGGATCTTGACCGGCTGAACCAGGACTGTCTATTATTTCCTGAGAATACTGTGCATTTATTGTGAAAGAAAGACAGGCTTTCTCTTAGCTCTCCAGAAATTCCACAATAAAAGAATGTGGATGCAAATACACGATACTAAATTCATTTCTTTTCTATCATTTATCTTACACTACATTGGAACTCTTCAATACGTTTGAAGGTTAAGAAAATAGAGTGCAGGAAAAAAAATAAATCAGCTCAATGATTATTTTAATGTACCACCTTAGCTTCGAGGCATTTCCCTCATATCCTCAGGGGAAGGTAATTTCTCCAACTTATTTTTCAATCGATTGCTAGCATTTCACTCTCTTTAGACCTTTTGCATTAGAGGAAGGAACAAGTCGGCTTTTTCTTATCTCAATTTGGACAGTTGGGAGTTTATCACTCTTTCCCCATTTAACGACCTATTGTATTGAATTTCAAAAAACAAATTGCCTTTTAGGACAGAAAGTTCAAAATCAAAGTATTTGCATCAGCATTATACTCTCAAGACTGGGAAAGGAGAGGTTAATGTTTTTACTTTTGCTACCTCTTAAAAGCATGTGAAGAAAAGGAATCTCAATAAATGGACTTTTGAAAGGAAAAAGGAAGAGACAACAAAGGCGTGTGTTGCATTTTCTGTCCGAAGGCCAGTTCATCTCCTGCAGTTTTCCTGTAGAATGGCCAGGTCTGCTGAGGTTTCAATTATTTTACAGCCCAGGCAATTTCAGGCAAATTTACAGCTTCACTCAGAACTACAGTTCAATGAGTTCAATATTTTGCAGCTAATGAAACTAAGGTCCAATAGCTAACTGACCCACCACTAATGCACGATTTGAAGTCCATGCACCTCCCATCGGAGCGGAAGGATTTGATGTATCTAAAGCTCCCCAATCTTGGTAAGAAAGTTTCCATTTAAATCAAAAATAAATCTTTACTATAGTTAAGATATATAAATATTAACATCACTATATTTAGAAGAACACTTAAAGCTTCCAAACCACATGGTTTGGAGCTTAGAGCATTCCCCCCACGAGGAGAAGAGAAGGATTTGAGAACTGGGAAAGGTCTTACGACATGATTTTAACAGAGCGAGGTGAAGTCGTTTGTCTCATGTTTAGCTTTCTCCATTTTTCTTAATTAGGAGGCAGTGGGTACAGCAGAAAGTTCTAGACACACCGGGGTTCAGATTTATCTTTATTAGCTGGGAGCCCAGACATGTTATCTCACCTGCAAAACCCATTTTTATTTTAATGACAGAGGTGGACTAGATGACCTTCCAGCACTACTGTGTGCATTTGTTATGCTTACCTTATCCTAACAGGAAAATTCCGAAGGGGAAAATCCAACTGTTGCAACCTTCGATTAGCCTTAGTCTTTTTTGCTTCCAAGTGAGTCACTTTACTCTCAGCTGGTGTCTGATTTTCAGCTGAGCTGCAACCACCTAAACTTGATCAGCTCACACTTGTTCTCTCCACAAAGGCAGCAGCAGCAGGGGTTTGGTGGACGTAAAACCTCTACACCAGAAAATCAAAATCATCTCCCGAATGCATAGGTTTGAAGGTTTTCCTCTGGGATTCTTTGTACCAGTGTTCCTCTGTTGGTTTTCTCCCTTTAGAAAATAAAACTCTTTAGCCCCTCCTCCTAGCACGGTAGACCTTGTTCCTCAGCAGAATTTTCTTAGTTGCACCCCACAGCAAAACATTATTTTGCAATCTGAGTTCAGAAAAAGCAGACTTATTATGTTCCAAGCACTGTTCTGCATACTTTGCATATCTGAAGGCATTTTATCCTCAGAGAACCCTCTGAGAAGTAAGTACATGTATCACTTCCTATCCAAATCTATTCACTTTCCCAGTTCAGTGGTGAGAGGTCCGAGTTCCTTGAGCAAGTCTGAATGGCCAGGAAGACTTCATTATCTGAATTGAGTTTAGTTCACCCACTTGGGATGGTGAAAGGCCTGACCTTAAATAAAGCTACTGGTATGATCCGAAAGTACAAATCCATTTGGTTACTTGTTGCAAAAGCAAGGGTTTGAGGAGGAAGGCTTCAGTGAGAGCTATCTATTCCATTATCTCCATTAACAAACGAGGCAAAGGAAGCTCAGATAGCTGCCAGGGTTTCCTGGTGAGACGCAGCAGCGCCAGAAACCTTCTCGGACACCAAGGCACAGCCAGTAACACCCCCCCCCCACCCCAGCTGTGCTGGACGCCCGATTCAACTGTTCCTCTTTGTGGCCATCGGTGTCACCCACACATATTTTCACTGTGGTTTTTCTGCGAATGTATTTGGGGAGCTTAGCCTGAGTTGCTGTCCCAATTTTTGTAGTTTAATTTGTCAACAGACTCTGATGATACGTTCTATGAACACCAACATAAACACGTGTTAGAATAAAACTTGCTGCTATTTGTACAGCTTCAGTTTAATCCCACGGCCTGAGGAACCATCATGTTTTCTCTAGTTACTGCCTTTAGTTCCTCCACCGAGGATGAAATAAGTGACCTTTCTGTCTTAGAGAAGCGAGAAGACCAGACACCCACGCAGATAAACGCAGGAGGAAGTGCAGTGGAACTGGGCTCTCGTGGGCTATCCCTCGCAATCTCTGAAGGTTTGGGGCCTCTTCCAAACACTGCTCGTCCTCAACTCATTTGCTGTGAGAGCTGCTTCCCATTGCCAGTTCACACCTGTGTTTGGGTTTTCAATATTTTCTAAAGTATTTAATACATGATACCAGCAATGATTTTCCTACAGGGCTCAGCCAGGGCCCTCAGGAAATTGTGCAGAATCGTGGGTGCTCTTTCTGACTTGCTCATATGTGCCCACACACTGCTGTCCAGTGGAAAAGCACAGAATGAGCTCCCATGTACATGTTAAAGTCATATCTGTTAAGCTGACAGGTGGTATCTTCACATATTTAAGTGAAAAATAAATTTATGCTTGATTGCAAATTCTTTTTACACTTTCGCATAGCAACAAGGCGAAGCATAAAGTAGGGCTAAAATTGCACTAAATCAGTAACAGTGCAGGCCTTCTGGATGTTCTGTGTCACCATGTGGTGAAAAGGTCAAAGGTATGTCTCAGTGTGCGTGGAGGCCTAAGAAGCCACATCTTAAATACTGGGTAAACTCCTGGAACATTACTTCAGTTCAAGGAGAATAAAAGTACCACTGTAGTAGTAAATCGCAACGCGAAAAGTACATGAGGTTTAAGACAAAACTCTGAGACTTAACACGTCAACGTGAAACTTCCAAGTACGTACCTAGTACCCCTGAGGCTTTTGGATACTCTAGTGGAACATGCTGAGATTCAGAGTCTCCTTGCTCAAGGAGAACAGGACTTAGAAGATCTTGGTGCTCTTCATGGCTCCATTACTTACCACCTGTGTGACCTTAGATGAGTTACTTGTCCTTTTTATAAGCCTTGGTCTCTTTTTCTGTGCAGAAGTTAGACTGTACGATCTCTATCTACGGTCTCTTTCAAAAGACTTGTGGTTCTTGTTTATGTTCCAGAGCTCTGGCTGCCTAATCTATCATATCTAATAGATGCCATCTGTTTACTCAGCATAGAGATTTCATATCACGGGGAAATATATCTTGGGACACCCTAAGATTTGTCCAAATCTAAACTAATAACGTGCTACTAATTAAGCTTTTACTGCTAACCCAATGAAGGCTAACTAACACTTCCAAATTCAAGACAGACCATCAGAAAGTTCAACCAATATCAAAATTTTGATCAAAATTCCTATTTCTTTCGCTATGACTTTTGGCTCATCAAATATCCAGGGGAAGATTTTTAGCATTCACTAGTCATTATGTGAACATATCCCCTATCATAAAGTTTCACAGATTTGTTTTTAATTCAAATACCCTCAAATGCCCTTCCTTCTTTTTATTTTTTTATCCTCATCTGAGGACATTTTTCTATTTTTTGTTCAGATAGAGTGGGAGGGAGAGAGGGGGAGAGAAACATCAACATGAAAGGGACACATCGAGTGGCTGCCATCCACACGACCCCAACTGGGGCCAGGGACAAACTGCAACTGAGGTACGTGCTCTTAATGGGAACCGAACCCGGGCCTCTCTGGTCTGTGGGCCGACGCTCTAACTGCCGAGCCAAACTGGCCAGGGCTGCCCTTCTTTCTTAAAGTATTCATATAAGTGACACAGTGAATCTGAATGTAACTGAAGGAGCCAGTGGTAGAAGTTCTCTTATGCACACACATAAATCCCATAATACACACATCACTTGATCATTTACAAAAAATCTTTTAAAAATGTAATAGTCATTGCCATGTTCCTTTATGATATGCATATTGATTTTTAAAAAATATAGCATGTTTGAATCAGAAATGATTAGCAAAATCCATTACTGCATAGCTCACCACCATATGTATAAACTTCATTTAATTGAGTACTTAGAAAAAATTAGACTAGTATTCAATGGGAAGATATAGTAAAATCAAGGGCAGTGCTGGGAGGTGCGCACTACAATTTAGGAATTGGTGTGGCTGCCACTGCTATGCTTTCAATCGCACACTCATCGGTTCCTCTACGGATCCGGAAGTAACCATCCTCACCCCAGCCAGTGCCCCAGCTGTTTTTAACAATCCAGTAGTCCAGCCCAGTGCCTGGATCTGTGCCATAGCCCACCAACAGAACAGCATGATTAGTCAACTCAAAGGGATTGAAAGGGTCATTCAGACCAGTGTGGTGGTAGATTCCCTTGTGGTAGTGTAAGAAGTCATCATAGACTTCAAAAGCAACGGCCATGGGCCCGTGATGGACCAGCTCAAGCTTCATCAGCGCTTCATTGCAGCCCCCATAGAACCCTCCCACATAGTGGTACTCGGATGTGTAGTAACGAAAGCAGTCGTCCTTCAGCTTGCACAGAGAATCAGTGCCTGTGTAGGGGTAACACGCCTCTTCCACCAGCCCAAAATCTTGGGCATATTTTCCTGCAATGAGGTATGGGAAGCCGCCATCACAGCCTGAGGAGGAATAACACAGAGTTATTAACCCTTTATTAGAAAGGGGCACAAGGAGAAATAATCCCATTTCCAATTCTTTCTTTTCTACTCCATTCATTTTTTGTTTTCCAGAAGTTGTTCCTAAATTAAATGTCACTTCATTCATCTATCCATTATCCTCTCATCCCCTATTTTTCAAAATTTATCTTTATTGTTGAAAGTATTACAGACGACACCCTCCTCCCTGCTCTGCCCCACCCCCACACCTTCACCTCACTATTGGTTGTACATATATGCATATAAGTTCTTTGGTTTATCTCCCCCACCCCTTCCCACCCAACCCCCTTCCCTCTGAGGTCTGTCAATCTGTTCCCTACTTCCATGCCTCTGGATCTATTTTGTTTGTCAGTTTATTTTGTCAAGTATATTCCACAAATAAGTGAGATCATGTGATACTAGTCTTTCGCTGACTGGCTTATTTTTCTCAGCGTAATACTCTCCAGGTCCCTCCATGTCGTCTCAAAGGGTTAGAGATCTCTCTTTCTTATAGCTGCATAATATCCCACTGTGTAAATGTACTACAGCTTTTTTATCCATTCATCTACTGATGGGCACTTGGGCTGTTTTCAGATCTTAGCTATTGTAAATAGCATTACTATGAACATAGTGGTGCATATATTCTCTCTGATTGGTGTTTCAGGCTTCTTAGGATATATTCCTAGAATACAGACACTGTACTCTCTCTACCACACCATCCTGTTGTCTTTACCAACAATGGCCAACCACACACAGGTAAATAGTGCTTGAAAAACAACACTTACCTTGAGCATACTGGCTGCAAGATACAACCTCTTGAGGACTCAAGATTGGCGTCTGAGTGTTGTTGGTTAGTATACGTAGCCTTGCCTCCAGCATACCCATAGAGGCAAATGAGTAGCAGCTTCCACAAGACGCTGGTGATGGGGGGAAAAAGATACTTAACCCAACAGACCTTTGAAGCACCCACAAAAATACACAGAAAAAGCGGAGTGGCTAAGATATATTAATATATTTATATCGAGCATTGCTGTTGTTGTTCATATGGATGAACACAATAAAAAAGAGTCCATCGACAAACACAGTTGACCTTAACGGTAAACATTAAGATTTCAGCTTTTTCATCAAAAGGCAAATGTTACTATATGGGACTTTCCTTGAGAATATTTTAACAGAAGGAAAAAAAGAACAAAAAACTCCTAACTTCTGCAAAGCATTTGACAGTATTCTTGACCATGAAGAAATTATTTATGTCTACAGAGCCATTAGATTGAGAGAAAACTATGGAGTGGTACAGATAAGCTGAACTTTTAAATACTTCTAGTAACACTTTCTTTTTTTTTTAAATCCAGCTCACCCAAGGATATTTTTCCATTTATCTTTAGACAGAGTGTGAGAGGGAGAGAGAGAGAAACATCAACATGACAGAGACACATTGATTGGCTGCCTCCCACACGACCCTGACCAGGGCCAGGGACCAAATCGCAACCCAGGTACATGCCCTTGACCAGAATCAAACCCGCAACTCTTTGGTCTGAGTGTTAGGGTCTGAGAGTGCCCCGAGGCTCCCAGAGGCCTTCGCGGGAAACAAAGGGTCAAAGAAAATTTTCCAGTCGTCTCCTAGCTAAACCCCCTCCCTTTCCTAGCAATTCTCCAAGGACATCTTGAGAGCGTCTTGAGCCTTGGGAAAACCACCTGCAGGGTGTGCGTGCCAAAGAATGCTTCTGCAAGGCCAGCTAACCGCTGATATCTGCTTCTGTACATCCTGCTTGCTTGCAATTTGCACCACAACCCCCCTATAAAACTCAGCCATACTAGCTCCTGGGGGCTGCTGCTCTCGGCTGTGTCCGTAGGTGGCAGACCCTGCATGCAGGTTTTAGCATAATAAAGCACATTCAAATCTAAAGAATTAAGTCTGAGTGTGGTCGATCTCCTGGGTTACAACACTGAGGTCCGGTGCTCTAACCGTTGAGTCAAACCGGCCAGGGGTAGAGTAACATTTTCTAAAGCAACTTGCTGGGTAGAACTAACCCTCAGAATGGCTCAGGTATGAGTCTATTGTAGAGCTGGATTTAACCAGGGTCAAGGATACAGAGTACAGCAAAGCCCCAGAAAGGTAAGAGAGTCATTATAAAGACGGATACGGTATTTAAGGTGGCCAGTGAGGAAATAAAGAGGTAAGGCAGGTGGAGATAGTGAAATTGAAAGCAGACTGGCTCCAAGAGGAAAAGGGTAACAGCAGGACAGCCACGGCCCCTGAAAAGTAGTACCGAGAGGAGAGACGAACACGAACGTGGCTGCGTGGAAGTGGGGAGAAGGACAAAGAACACAGCCTCATTTAAGTCCTGGATGCTCTGCCAAAGACGAAATCAACTGACTTAAGAAGAGTATGCCAGGAACATAGTTACTATTTCAAAAGTAGGAAAAATGTATGATGAGCTAAAATATGTGAACAACATTATTTTTCTGTCTCTTCAATATATGTGGTTAAGAAGTAAGAAAATATGGCACAAATGTAACAAAACTGGGACTTCTCTGTGTTATAATTCTAGAAAGACATGAACATAATTTTAATATTTCTATTATTACATAGCCTCTTTCACTCTGCCATGAATACAAATTCCACATGAAAATATGTATGTACCAAATCCAAGACATAGGTGATAAATGAAATCATACACAATTGATGGGTTGTTCGCTTCATTTACCAAATTACCTGAATAGTGAGCACACCCTTATGCACATAAAATAAGATTAGTGAACAGACAATATTACGATTCAAATAAAACTCATTCTACATAAAGAGAATGATGGCTTTGTTCACTTTAATAAATCTGATTTTAATAATTTAGTAACTGCCTTCCATAGAAAACATCAAAAGGAACATTATACATTCAAAACATGTTACCTGGAGAAGGTAACCGTTGATTCTCGTTCCTTCCTGAGTGCAGTGGAAATCAGGATACTCTATGCTCAGCCTCCAACATCCTAAACTCTACCTGAATTACTTACACTGTTTTCCACAAACTATCCTGTCAATTTCCTTGAGTGTTCACAGGAAATTTGTTTTCTTCACTTTGGTGCCTGATGCAATGAGGGAACTCAATGTATATTTGTAAAAGGAAGAATCAAATTATGAAAAATAGATACATATTTACATCCAGGAAAAAAAAATGACTTCAATGGACATAGTCAACTTTGACTCATCCTTAAGCTGCAAGGGAGGCAGAATCCTAGACCCTAATGTGAGCCCTCTTTCAGTAATTCAACAACATCACAGATCCAAAACCTAGAATCTATTAGAGCCCTACTACCCTTTAACTGCTACCAATTCTCCTCATAAACACCTCAGATTTGTCCATATCACATCATGTACTGCTTTTGCTGCTGAGGGACCACCTAAATTGTGAACACAAGGAAACAAACACTTGGAAGGGGGCCTTGGAATTCATCTAGTGTCCAGCCCACTCACTCGATAATATGTGTACACTGAGACTTGGAAAGAAGCAACCATGACCTGTCCAAAGTCACAAAGCTAATAGTTGGCAGGTGCTAGTTGCCCAAGTGTCGGCCAATGAAGGCCCAGTGTCCTTTTCAGTTCATAGGTCTCCATCTACTGTAATGAATCTTCAGATTTCCTTTCTATGTCATCCAGTTACTAAATAGACCAAAATTAACTTATACATTTTGTTTAAAACATCCAAATAACACTATCCTCGGAACTTCCCCACCTTTGATAGAATGTAAAAAAACTACATGAGTGACAGAAAATAGCCAAATTCAGTGTTCCAATAATGAAACACTAGGGTCTTTAAAAAAATTAAATCCCGTGAGAGTCCAGAAACAGTCCCATTTTGGCCATCCAGCATTCCTGACCCATGGCAGCCACAGAAGTAACCTCTTGATTATTTCCGATCATCCATCACTGTGGGAGGGACAAGCCACATGTACATTCAAAAGCTCAGAATATGCTGTGTGAACAGAGAAATCATGGGAATGAGGAAAGGAGATAACCTCCCTCAAGTTCATGCAGTTCCAAGAATGTGTCTGTCAGTTGCCAACGTAATTAATGACTTTTCAAAAGTCAAGGCCAGAGTCTAGATTCTAAAAGGATCATTATCCCTTAAGAAGAGTAGGGGAGATCTGGCCCAGAAAGAACTCTGCAATAATCATATTTCCACAATCCCAAATAGACAATGTGACCTTCACATGATTTAACTCTGTTCAGCTGTACCTTCCAACAGCAGAAAATATACTGAACTAAGAGGAAGGAGTCAAGACCCCCCCCCCCCTCCTTGCTTTGTCACTCAGCTGTGACTTGACTCTGGGCAAGTCACTTGATCTTTCTGGCATTTCTCTCTATCTCGTGTGTAAAATAAATAGGGTGAAGCAGAGAGTTTAAGGTTCCTGCCTTCCTGTATAAACAGTATTGAAAACAAGTCTGAAATGAACTACATTTTAAACATTAGCAAAACACTCTGCATTTCCTAATCAACATGACCTGAGAGACACCCCTCTTTCTTGAAGATGTAATAAAGAGAGCATAGCTGAAAGAAAAACAAAGCAAGTCCATCTCTTCCAATTTCCTAGCTCTCTTGAGCTTAAACCTGCTTTCAAGTGTAAAGCTAAAATCTCATGTGTCTGCCCAGTATCTCTTTTTCCATTTATCTTGATACGTTCTCTGCATAAAGTTGTGAATTCCCTTAACTGCGGCTAATTTTGAATTCTGGGTTATATAGAACACTAGTGTTCTTAAAGTTAGTGGAAATTTCTAAGTAACCCAATTAGCAGAAAGAGAAAAAAATTTTTTCCAACCGAAAGTACAGAAAACCAAAAGAAAGTCAAAAGAGGAACCTCTAAGTACATTATTTTCTCAAGTACTAAACAAGTTACTACAGATGAGGAATCAATTACAAAGCACTTAATCTATCAAATGCCTCTGTTTTTAAATTACTCATGTTTGTACAATTCATATTTATAACACTCATGGAATATGGGACATTAGAGACAATATTAACTTTCCAAGCTACATGAAAACCAATGTCAAATAATTTGGCTTTAGGAAGTCTAATTTCTTTCCAACGAATTATTGGTTCACTAGCTAATCAGATCTTTTGGGAAGTGAGTAGAACTAAACTTTTCTTTTCACCTTCTTCTGTGCTTCCAGTGAATTTTAAAAACACTTTCTCAAATCATTTATCATATTCTATTTTAATGTTTTACTTGCAGGTTTTGATAAACTATATGTCTCAAGGACAAGGACCATGTCATACTAGTCTTTATATCCTCAGCCATTAAAAAAATTACTAATGTATCTTAGATACTCTATAAACATACAACACAACAGAAGCAAGTATGTGCCAGGTCCTCATAACCAACACTGACATGCAGTATTTACTTAACCCTATCAAATAAGAATAAGAAATCTGTTTGATGATCGAGAAAATGTTAATCATCTCCTTAACATCAATCCTTTAATTTCACTTTCCATTTATTTCTCAATTACCTTCCAATTTCTCTCATTTCCAATCCCTCCTTTCCAAAGAAGCCCTTCCCAGAAAATGAGAAAGTGGGAAAGGATTTCCACACTTTCTCTGGAGCCGAAGAGTCCTAGAATAACTGGCAGAAAGGAAAGACAATGAGCCAAGACCTCCGGTGTCAGCTGAAGGACAGGAACTTGGCTGAGTGGCTCCACATGCTGGATATTTAGAACACTTTGTAAGAATTCCTTGAGGACGGAACTGAAGGGTCAGTGATGAATGCTGAGAAGAGGGAGAGGCTGATTGTCACTGAAATTTTAGGAAGGGGAAAGAACAATTTATCTTGGGTGTTATGAACTTACAATCTTCCCAGGAGATACTAATCAGAAGGTTTCCAGACAGCAAATTCTACACCTATTTTATGGTAACAAATCAGTCATGTGCACTGTAATTATCTTCAAAATGAGCTTAGAAGTAATAAACCTGAGTATTATATAAATGATTCTCCAAGTCATTGTTGGCTAAAATTTAGGATAACAAGACAATCTGCTGTCAAGAGCTTTAGAGGAAGAGTTATTAAATGTATTCATAGTGTATCCAATTTCTGGAAATAACTGGTAAAATGCAATTATAGTGATACTTTTGGTAAACCTGGGCTCTGCTCCCAGCCTACTCTTTTGGAAGCCGGGTTAATAGTTACCATAATGTGTAATATTCTGACATAAAATGAATGGAAAGGTCACAGATGAAAAAAACCTAACCAGAAAAGAAAATTATGGATCCATTTTCTGGGCTTTTATAGTAATTAAAGACTTAATGATGAGGTCAGGACAGGGAGTGGGAAGACAGATAGCAAAGCAGGATTCCAGCAAACCACTTGCAGAAGGAAGAACAATTCTAGTTGTACACAATTCTTTGTTTCTATACGAGTCTCTCCTACTAGGAGGGCAAATAAGGTGGGCTTACATATCACTCTGATTAATTAATTAATTAGCTACAAGGAACCTATATTGAGAAGGGCAATTAAGAAATTCTGAGCTCAGTTGGAGAGATTATCTAGTACCAGAGCCTGTCCTGGATTTAAAAGGAAGAAGTCAGTATCCATGTATCCATTGGCCTTCCATTTCTTCACTAAAGTGAATCACACCCATTTCATCTCTATATTCCCAGAATCTACCCCAGAGCTTGGCACATAGTAAATGTTCAAAAAGTGTTTCAGAATAAATCAATGAGAACTTCGACTTTTTTTTTTTACCTTGGTTTCGAACAGGGGTGACAAAATTGATACCACCAACATTTCTCCAATCCCAAGATGGTGGCAAATGCAAAACCTTTTCAAGTATTTCAGCTGTTAGTGGTGCAGGACTGGGCCTAGGATGGAAATACATATATGACATCAATGTACAGTCTTTCCTTTAAGGATTATTTCCTAATCTTGAATTCCACAATTTCAACCTCCTGGCTGGCTAAGATCTAGATTCAGACCCAAAGAGCACTTGTCCCATCAATGTTTCAATGTGTCTATTACAATCATGCAGCAATCTATACAATGTCTCTATTTCCCCAGTGGAATGACACTGGTTTTGTATATCTCTGATATGCTATTTTTAGTATGCTTCAATAGCTGCATTCTCTTACTTTTAACAGATTTTTTTGTTTGATTGTTAATCCTCACCCGAAGATATTTTTTCCTTTTTTTTTAGATAGAGTAGAAGGGAGGGAGGGGGACAGAGAGAAACATCCATGTAAGAGAGACACATCAATTGGCTGTCTCCCGCATGACCCCAACCGGCGCTGGGGATTGAACCTGCAACCCAGGTACGTGCCCTTGACCAAGAATCAAACCTGTGAGGGCCTATGCTCTAACCGCTAAGCCAAACCAGCCAGGGCTATTTTTACAGATTTGGACCAAGAAAGCAGACATGTGGAGTTAAAGATAGCCTACAAAGGATATAGAGAAATAGAGAACTTACTGCTGTCTGACTCAGGAGGTGGGTGGCAGTGATGGTGAGGTTGTCAAAGAGGTGAAGTAGGCACAGGAACGAAAGGTCTAAGGATAAAGTAGGCAGACGAGCTCCATAAACAGGACAAAACTGCTCATCATGACAGAACTACACCTTATATGATATGCTTGGTAGTAAGACACAAAAGGCGAGTTGCTGGGATGATTAAATGATAGAAATTTTCTAGAATTGAAAAAATTGTTCTACAAGCTTCTCTATATTACAGATTTAAAACATACCTACAAACAAAGCATTCTATTATTATTATATTGTTAATCCTCACCTGATGACATGTTTTACTCATTTTTAGAGAGAGAGGAAGGGAGAGAGAGAGAAGGAGAGAGAAACAGCGATGTGACAAATCAATCAGTTGCCTCTCGTATGCACCTGGCCCCGGGATCAAACCCACAACCTAGATATGTACCCTGACCAGACACTGAATCCACCTTTTGGTGCACAGGATGGCACTCCAACCAACTGAGCCACACAACTGGGCAAACAAAGCATTCTAGCTCTAGCCACACTATACTTCTTAAAGTTTGCCCGAGTCTGCTGAATGCTCTGTGTCCCATGCCTTTGGAGTGCTGCTCCTTACATCTAAACACTTGCTGCCCACTGCTAGAAGAAATCCCCTTAGAGATTTTCCCTGACTTCCGATTTTAAAGACTGCTGCTCATACAGCAGCCTCCACCCACCAACCCCCATGAAGACTCATTTCTCTCTATGCTCCATCAACCCTTGTGTGACGACACTACTGCTCTATTGTGGTAACATTTATTTTTCTGTTATTGCAAACTACTTGAATTTCTTACTCAGCTTGGAATTATCATACCACAGTGTTCTAACTTTCCAGTGGTTATCAAGTTGGTTTTTTACCAGGTTCTAATTTACTCACTGGCAAAGATTATATGTGGATTTCTTCATGTCCTCTGCAACGAGTCCCCAGACCTTCTCTCACACACTTCTCTTAGAGATGATGTAAGTTAATGCTAGGACAAAGCGGAAGTGAAATGAAACAGAGGGGAAAAAAATCACTTATGACTAGCAATCATAACTTTGAGAACTGTAAAGAAGAGAGAGCGCCCTGGCCGGTTTGGCTGAACGGTTAGAGCGTCGGCCCCCAGACCAGACAGACCAGGGCTTGGTTCCTGCAAAGGGCAGGTGCCTCGGTTGTGGTTTGTCCCTGGCCTTGGTTGGGTCGTGTGGGTGGAAGCCAATCGATGTGTCTCTCTCACATCAATGTTTCTCTCCTACACTCTTCCTCCCCATCTCCCTCCTGCTGTATCTGAAGATAAATGCAAAAATGTCCTCAGGTAAGGATTAAAAAAAAAAAAAAAAGAATAGATAACATGTTCCATATAGAAATGTCAGTTAGTTTTTCACTAAAATATTAACTAGCCAGGGACATCGCTAGCAGATGAACATGAGGTGGTCTTTGACCATATGAAAGACAACAGTAAGAAACATGAAACGTACAGAAATACCAAACCAAGTACAAAGAAGTTACAGCAATGCTATAAAACATTTAACTTGGATAATGTCTATGGAATAACTAAGGTCCATAAAAAGCTGTGCATCATGAAAATGTTATATGTAGGGCAGGAAAAAAAAATAAACCTTGGATATTTCTTCTGAGATTAATGAATAAAAACAAGGATACAAACACATTTTGGAAGAAAACAATTTCTGTGAGTTTACATTCAGAGGCCAAGAGATGCAATCAATCAATCAATAGATATTAACTGACTGTCATACATATACCTAAGAATACATTAAGAAATATGGAAGATAAAAAAGGAATTGAAGTTTGGCAGCATAATGTAGTTTCAGGACAGGTATCTCAGAGCCCTACCAACCTTATACAAATGGCTTCACCACTTACTAGCTGTGTGACATTAATCAAAGATCCTTTTTTTTTTTATTCCAGAGAGAAGGGAGAGACAGAGAGAAACATCAATGTGAGAGAGCAACACTGATAAACCGTCTCCCCAAACACCCTAACCAGGGATCAAACCCGCAACCTGGGTATGTGCCCTGACTAGGAATCGAACCCACCACCTTCTGTTGTAAGGGATGATGCTCCAACCGAGCCACACTGGCCAGGGCATTAGTCAAAGATCTTAACATCACAAAACTATGACAGTCTCCTATTAAAACAGGTATGAGCATACCCACGTCAAATGATTTTTTTAAATGAAAAGAGTGCTTAGGATAGTGCCTGTGTCTGATAACTCCTTAATAAATGATTAAGCTATCATGATGATAACTGCCACCATCATCACCTGTGTCACCGAGTGGACCAAATACAATGCTGAGAGGTTTAAGTGACTGGCACATAGGCGGCATTCCGAGGTTAACATGCTCCTTCCCGTCATTCCACAGGCAGAATGTTTGCCCATCCGTGCACCCACGGACAAAGCGGAAATAATGTGACGACTGAAGCTGGACGGTGTAAAAATGAAGACGGTGAGAAGGAATGTGGGAGATGGAGAAGTGGGAAGTCAAGCATTATAGTTACACTATACATAACTGGCTCTTCATCAATTGGGTCCAAATTCTTTAAGAATCTTTTCAAGCTCTGGACTGGCAGAGATGCCCTAAAATAATACATTTTTCTATCATTTCAGCAGTTGCACAAACTCCCTACACCTAAAGTTAAGAATCTCTGAGAATGTCTATTATACACAAAGTGTTTTTGAAGCCTGCAGAATGATAATCCTAAATCCTGAAGCCTGGTAGGTGTGGCTCAGTGGATTGAGCGTTGCCCCATGGACTGAGAGGTCCGGGTTCGATTCCCCACCAGGGCACACGCCTGGGTTGCAGGCTTGATCCCCAGTAGGGGGCATGCAGGAGGCAGCTGATCTATGTTCCTCTCTCACATCGATGTTTCTCTCTCTCCAAAAACTCAATAAAAACATATTTTAAAAAAACTGCTACTGAAAATGAGGCAGCCTAGACCACAATGTCTGCTTCAGTATTTCCAATTCTACTCAATTCATCTCCATATCTCCTGCCTTCTAGGGAACCTTAGCCTCAGAAGCAGCCCTTCTCCAGAAAGCTGGCCCTTCTCCGGACAGGTGTCGGTGGAGGGAAAGAAGGGCCGAGCACAAGAGTTCTCAGATCCACGGCACAGGACACGCGGCCGGCGGCTGGATCTGAGGCTTCGATCTTTCAGGCAGGAACCCCACTGCTCCTTCGCTTTATGAACCTAAGAATGGATATAGTTGGGCAATACTTCTCCATTGCCCAACTCTGATTATGAAGAGCATCTCATGGACTAGCAGTTCTTTAGAATAAACCTTGAGAAATACTGTGTAACATTCTTTTTGAAAAGGGGAAGAACTATGAGAGAATGCCGTTCACGGGACAGGAAAAATCTCCAAACACCCTCGTAGTGGAAAAATGCCAGAGCCTTAGGATGATCATTCTGCAGATAAAAAGTTAGAAAGCAGTTTACCAAGTTAACAGTTACCCCATGAGTGGCCTGTTCAAACAATAAACACTGAACTAAGGACTCTATTTATATGAAGAAAATAATCGGTGTAATCTCAGAAATTTGGAAAATGTGATAACTAAAGGGCAACACCTACCTACACAATTGATTGACTCCCGTTGGCTCCCCGGTGGTTTCCTCTCCCTGACCTTCGCTGTGTCTGCTTCTCCGAGGCCAGTTATGGTGTCACGGAAATATCCTGGGCTGAGGTTAAGGTGCTAGCTACTCTGACAGATCCCGCTGTGGCTCTGAAAGAATTGTTTAAATCTACCGAATTCCTGACTATATAAATTAAAAGTATTACAACCTGATTTCCCAAAGTAAGAATACACCACAGGGTGTGTAAGGTAAGGACAGAAAATGTTACTTCTGGCTAAGGAGAGTAGCAGGGTAGACGGGTAAACAAGGAACCTTTTTTGTTGGACCTTAAAACAGAGAGAGGATTTTGAGATTTTTATAGGTGGCAAATTTGACACTTATTAAAGGCAAGTGGAGGGGTATCTGAGGCAAAGGGAATGGCATAAATGGAGCTTTTATGAAAAGAAAGTTTTTAGTCATTGTGTGTCATGTGTTTGAAAGCAAGTCACAGTACTAAACATAGTTGTGGTCAAATGTATATGACTTTGGTTACCAGGTTAAATTTATTTATTAGACAATAGGTAGTAACACAATCACAGCTGAGTGCAGAAAGATGAAACTGGCAATACTTTGTAGAGAATGGAGACAGAGAAGGAAAGAGACCAAGGGGACGGGAGGCAGGAAAAGAGACAACACACGGCAGGAAAGAGACAATAAAACTAATGAAGCCAGCACTTAGAAAATGGAAAGGGAGTCATGGAATCGGCAGATGCTATCAAAGCAAAACCCACAGATAGAACTTGGAGAGCATCAGAGTGTGCATGAACAGGAGAGGAAAATGGTCAGGAAAAAAGATAACAGGCCCTGGCCAGTGTGGCTCAGTTGGTTGGAGCATGGTCCCACACCCCAAAAGCTGATGGGTTCGAATCTTGGTCAGGGCACATACTTAGGTTTCGGGCTCAATTCCTGGTCGGGCACTTGGGGGAGGCAATTGCTAGATGGTTTCTCTCTCACTTCGATGTTCCTTTCTCTCTCTCTCCCCTCCTCTCTCTAAAATCAATAATAGTAATAAAAAGATCACAGAAAACACTTAAGTTGGGATGACCAGTAAAATGGGGGGCAACCCACTAATAACTACCTATCTTTATTAGTGGTGAAGAGAAGTGCTTTATTACCTGGGGAGCCTTCCTCCACCACCTCTCCTCATCATCTCTGTCAGGGTAAGAGTCTCATATTCCATGTATGTGGTTGCAGTCCAAGATTTCTGAGCAGCATTGATCGCTTTCACAAAGTCATGATTATATTTGTAGAGCCGATTAGAATGCCTGCCAACAAAAATAAGATAGCTTTAGGTACATTCTTTGCTGATGTAAAGAGACTCCATTGAAAAGCACTCAGATACTCAGGGACAAAAAGGAAAATGGTATAATCTTTCAGGGAGGCAGTTTTTTGTTTTTGTTTTTGTAATGTAACATCAGGACTTTATTCAAGTCTTCAAAACGGTCTATTCTAAAATAAAAACCCACACATGAAGAACCCCACAATACAGAGAGAAGCACATGGCGCTCTTTTCCAGTCAATGGGAAGACAACATCACATTTACAGAACACAAAATTTAGATAACCTGAAACTGTAAGGTAAAATAAAATCCAGTTTCAGAAAACAAAAATCCAAATGTTAAGGGTCCCAGAACGATCCTTAACCCTAAAGGACTCCACAGTCCTCAAGTCCTTCTGCAGTGAGACGTGTAGAACACAACCCCATCAACCCGTCTGCGGAATCTGAGGGAGTCCTGAGGGCGGTACCAGACACCCCCACAGTAAATGGCAAGAGATTTTTGATCTGAAAAAATTCCCTTAATTTGGCTCTAAAAACATCAGGCTTTTGAAATATATTGAAATATATCATTGCTCCCCACCCCCCATATTTTAAACAAACTATTGTTTACAGTACAGTTTGTGTTGATACCCTTTGTTCAAACAAAGCTTTTTTTCTGGCACCAAAACACATTTAGTTTGATTCATATATAGATAACCTGTGAGTCAAAAGGCACAGCCCACTGTTGCCTGAGGAAATGCTTATATATATATATATATATATATATATATATATATATATATATATCTCAGTGGCCTGTAATTGGAATGTCTCCTATGAAAATAAAAGTTCAAGCTAACTAAGATGTAAGTATAAAGATGTTTGATAAAACACATTTATACTAGTGATAGTTTATAAACAACCTAAACAAATGTTCTAAGATAGGGACAGATTAAATAAATAATGGCACTTAATGTAATGTAACATCAGGACTTTATTCAAATCTTCAAAACAGTCTATATAGTTTATTTAGTAAAAATGTCTAGAAAATTATTTAGTGATATGGAAGAGTGCTAACACTGTATTAAGTTAAAAAGCAGGATAGCAAAGAAGTTTACACAAAATTAACCAATTATGTGGAAGTATAATATATAAGTACATTTTTTAAATGCCAACCATGGTTATCTACAATTTCTACAATGCACCTTTATCACTTTGTAATGATAAAAAAAAAGAACAAACTGTATAATGTATATAGAGCATGTCAAACATAACTATATGATTCAAAAAAAGTATTCCATATGAACATTTGATTTATACCCTTGTTACTAAAATTTGGTTCTTAAATTTAGAAATGCAGACTCTAAATAGCCAACCCAGACCACTTGAATATGCATTTTAATAAGATTCCAATCCCCGCCCCCCCCACCCCCACCAGTGACTCACAATAACATTATAATTTGAGAAGCAACGGTTTACAGGGTACTAAGTGCTTGGATTCAGATGTAAATAAATATAACATACATACAAAGAGTATGTTTACATAGTAAAAAAAATTGGGAGAGTTCATTATTCATTTAATTCAAACATGTATCACATCTATGTGCCAGCTGCTAAGAATTATAGAACTTATCATATTATTATGATGAAATAAGATTCAGTAGCTTATGTGTGACTCATTACTCAAGACTTCCACAAAGTTTCCATCTAACCTGAGTGACATCTTAGGCATATTGTGAACTTTACTCTCTCAATTCAGATGTTCATTGAGAGACCACTGTGATATAGCATGGACATTGAAAAGAAAAACATGCATCTGCATTGATAATGCTTTACTGTTTCCACCGAAGTTCTTCCCCACCTGTTGAAAAGTGTGAAACCAGAGAGGGATTTTCATTAAATAGACCACAAAACTGCCTGTGTTGCATGTCTCACAATATTATCACAACAACAAAAACAAATTACAGTTATTTGTTTCTTTAGACAAGACTAAATTTTAAACTGTAAATGTATGCCCTGAAATATTTTCCACTGATAAGAGTCACTATGTCATGGGCTCTAAGAATCTGAGAAGCAGTAACCAGCTCTACTTTCCTCACTGTATGGCAACATCAAGCGAAACATCATACGCTAGGTGTCTTACAGCAGTGACAAAGTAGGCCTGAACTACATTGTCTGTAGTGTCCAAGATCCCGTGAGGTTAAGGAGTCTCGGAGGACAGCTCCCAGAACTCAGGATGAGGGAGGAAAGTGACAGTCACAGGCACTTCTGGCCACAGATGATGGAAGGGAAGGGAACTGTCCTTGAGCACCCCAGTAGTTTGGAAAAGGAGGAGGACAACAACTCCAACCGGGGTGGTTTGACCCCAGTCAATGCCACTGAAGCCGAAAAGAAAAAGAGAAAAGCAGAGAGACAGATTCAGCCCAAGACCAGCCTCTGGAGATGAACTCTGCCAGTAGAGAAGATAAATGGAATAACATCCATGGGTGAAGATTTTTTTTAAAAAGGAAAAAACAACAACAACTATACACCTTCCTGAATGAGAATTATGTGGAACATGATGACAACATATTCTGATCTGATTTTCGCCCAGAATTCCTTTTATGAGCTCTCTGGCACCTGGCTGGCTGCCCCAATGGCACTGTAGTGTTAAGCGGTCTCAAGTCGGAAACTGGCGGGTTCATCAGTGCCATCCCAGCAAACATCCACACCTGTGGCACAGAGAAGCTGGTGGAGATCAACGTCCTGTGTGTCCACAAGAAGCTGCATTCCAAGAGCTTGACTCTAGCCCTGATCCGTGCGATAACCAGGCAGGTTCACCTACAGGACATTTTCCAAGCTGTTGACACTGCCAGGGTGAAATTAACAAAGCCTGGCCGCACCTGCAGGTGCTGGCATTTGGTCCCTAAACCCACGTAAGCTGATTAAAGTGAAATTTTCCCACTGGAGCAGGAATAGGACCATGCAGCTTACCACGAAGCTCTATAGACTGCCAATTTCCCAAGACAGCTGCTGGACTGTGACCAATGGGAAAAAGGAATTCCCATAGTGCACCAGCTCCTCACTGGGTATCTGAAGCAGTTTCACCTCACACCACTCATGAGTCAGAGGAGCACGAGTTCTCACCCCAGGAGAAGATCATTGACACTTATGTGATGGAGAATGCAAGCAGTATGGTGACTGAGTCCCTGAGCTTTTATACACTTCCCTCCACCATCATGAACCATCCAACCCACAAGACTCTGAAGGCAGCTTATTCTTTACAATGTTCACATCCAGACCCCTCTTTAGACCTCATGAGGAACACCCTTGTTCTCGCCAGATTGAAAGGGTATGGCGTGTTCAATGCACTGGACCTCATGCAGAACAAAATCTTCCTGGAGAAGCTCAAGTTTGGCTCAAGGGACAGCAACCTGCAGTATTATCTTTACAATTGGAAGTGTCCCCGCACAGGGGCAGAGAAGGTTGGGCTGGTGTTCCAATAAACAGCTGCCAGTGAGATTCTGGATAAAGCCACTGAGAATTCAAACCAGGAAATGGAACCCCACCACTTGTAGGTCTAATTTTCATAAATGTGCAATCCGTGGGAGCCCAAAGGGGACAGAGGCGAATCAGCTTTACCAAACTGCTACTGAACGTGACCACTGTAATGCAATGGCATAAGCTGCATGATGTCACAGCTGGCCATGTCTCTGGTCTCCCTGTTTCCCATTTAATCACATCCTTATGCAGCTGTGATCAAGGGAATGTAACTGCTGAAAACTAGCTCATGACTGGCATATTATGGAGTTAATGAGCCTGGCTGGTGTGGCTCAGTTGGTTGAGTGTCATCCCATGCACCAAGAGTTCACCATTTAGATTCCCTGTCAGGGCTCACACCAGGGTCATGGGCTCGATCCCTGGTGGTGGTGGTGGTGGGGGGGGTGTGTGTGTAGAAGGAAGCTGATGGATGTTTGTCTCTCATCAGTGTTTCTATCTCTCTCTCCATCTCACTTTCTCTCTCTTTAAAATCAATAAAAACATATTTTTAAAAAACAATAAAATAAAAAATCTAATGAGATTAATAATAATGTACCTTACTATGGGTTAGCAGATCATTAAGAGCTGAAGGAGATATTGAGAGTAATTTTGTTCCAAATGCTTATTTTACAGGTGAGGCAACACGTGTTCTGAGCCCTCCAGGTAGCAGCTTAGCTTCCTCACTAAATGAGGTCAACACTTCCCCGGACAAGTGCAGCATTTTGTCTCCTACCTCTCTGCTGAAGCCATTCTCTGCTCGTGTGGGCTGTTTAGATGAGTTGTTCATGTGCACTTTCAGGGGATTTCACAATGAAATAAAATAGAAAAAGTTGCTACCAATAATATTTATTTTTCTTTTCCTTCCCAGAAAAACAAAAGTCTGAAATCTCTTGTTTGTGTGATTCAGTTACCTCAAGGGCACCTAACTTAACAAAAATATTAACTGCATGTCATAGGCTGAATTGCATCTCTCAAAATTTATAAGCTGAAGTCCTAACCTCCACCACCTCAGCATGTGGCTGTATTTGGAGATAGGGCTTTTAAAGAAGAAATTAAGGTAAAAAGAGATCATATACGTGAACCCTAATCCAATATGAATGGTGTTCGTTTAAGAAGTGGAAATGAGGACTCAGAGGACAATCATATGAGGACACAGAGAGAAGGGGGCTGTCTGCAAGCCAAGGAGAGAAGCCTCAGAGGAAACCAAACCTGCCAACACCTTAATCTTGGACTTCTAGCTTCCAGAACTGTGAGGAAATAAATGTCTGTTGTTTAAGCCATTTGCCTGTGGTACTTGGCTGTGGGAGACCGAGCAAACGACATTCACCACATAAATACTAAGAATTTTAATTTCAGTTACTATTGCCCTGTTCAAAATGCATGTTCAGTTAATATCGCCTACACTTGTTGCAATATAAACACATGTGTCTACAAATATTATGAGCATGTCTTTACATGGCAATAAACATGGTTTTTCTTTATTAGTCATTTCCATCTGTAGTCCTCTTACATACATTTTCTGTAAAGCCAACACTGGAATGTTACTTTTGAAATGCTTTGGAAAAAAAAAAAAATGCTTTCTTCTCTCCTCTACATCAGTCAACATATTTTTCCAGTAAAGTTTTGTTTCCAAGTCACGTACATCTTATAGAATCAAAATTAAATTGTCTAAGAGTTAACGTACATACGTAATTATATACGCCATAAAACAAAGGAAATGTGTCTTGCATCTGTGACAACTCACTTGTCCTGGAGACGCTCCAGGTGCACTGCGCTCATTCGCACATTCTCCGAGGTCGGTTCCACCTTCCGTCCAGTGAAACAAGCCCAGTTCCGGCCCAGCACATCGTGCACCCACCCGGTCATCGTCTCGTGGCAGTAACTGGTCACTTTTTTGCCCTCTTCTTTATACTGCAACAAATAAGAGAAGGAAAGGCCGAGTGAATCTGGGGCTGACTCTCAGGTGCATTTCCCTGCCTCCCAGGCACAGCAGAGGCACCCCTTTTCCATTTCACCTTCGGGATCAGCCTCTGCCAGCCAAACCAAAAGCTTCACCTGAAAGCCTACATTCAAGAAAGTTCTAGAAAAGGAAGAGAAATAGATGTCTATAGGATAAGCACTGTTAGTCACCAAATAAAATTTATGTAACAAAACACTTCTGGGTATGCAAGGTAGGGAAAGAAACTAACATTTTTTATACAACTGCCGCTTCCAGGCATTTACAAATGACCTCACTTCATCCTCACAATAAACCTGTGAGGAAACAGACACCCAGAACCCTTCACACTGAGGAAACAGAGGCTCAGCTCAGAGATGATATATAGCTCCTACCTAAGGTAAGAAAGCTATTACATGGCACAAACAACACCCTGGTCAGCTTTTCGGACTATATTTTTCTGCTCAGAGATGGCCCACGCCAACAAAATACAGGAACAAGTGATAAAAATTTTCCACAGGACTAAACAAGATCCTTTCTTCTGTCAATCTTCCAATCTATTAGGCTATTCTGATCACAAGGGAGCTAAAAAACCTGATTACCAAATGCTCTGACCCTTTTATTTCATTAATATGGCCCTTGTCTTGTTTCAAGCTAACTTTGCCAGGGGTGGGAACTTTTTACTGCCAAGGGCCATCTGGACATTTACAGGCCATACAAAATTATCCACTTAAAACTTAGCCTGCTATACTAGGTCAGGCTAATTAGGTGAGGCCTGTGATGTTAGCTGGTATTGATTCCGTTGGTCTTATGTGGCCTGCGGCTAGACTTTCCCCACCGGTGCAAATGATTTGAACCAGAGGCTTTGGCTCCGGAGCCTAAAACTCTCATGCTATAACATCTCCTCGTGGAGGAGGGAGACACATTCCACAGTGAGAACACAGAGTGTGAGATGCAGGAAAAACAATGCATGCTAAGTTTCTATGAGGAGGGAGTGGGTACAATTTCAGACACGGACTTTATTTAATGACACAAAAGCAGGCAACTCAACAGCACAGTCAGCTGTGTTTTGATATTTCTTGTGACAACAGTATACAGTGGGTTGGCTTTGGTCCAGGGGCGATAGTTTGCAGGCTCCTAATGCTAAGATCATGAAACTGCAATCTTTATAGGTCAACAGCAGTCTAATATCAGTAACCTCCTACGATGCAACCTCCACCCTCAGAGTTCCACTGAGAGTTTCTCTTTGGCACGGGCTCTTGATCATGTTCCCTTCTCTCCTGTCACACGCTAGTCACACAGACCAGGTGTGGCTAAGCTGATGCTCCCCACTCCCCTGCTGTTTTTAGAAAGCAGTCTTGACAGTGCTGTAAGAGTTCTTGTGAGCTATACTGCAGAAATCATCAAAAACAAATAGATGGAAAAAAACCCCACTAAACACAGACAACACTTGCTGCAGTCTAACAGAAAAGGGAAAACAAAAACTAGAACCAAGTAGAAGCCCAGATTTTCTAGTATAACAGTGACTAAGTAAATGAATACATCAAAGGAATATTGCATAACATTTTAAATGATCCATATGAGCCCGGCTACTGTGGCTCAGTGGATTGAGCATCGTTCCCTGGACTGAGAGGTCCCAGTTTGATTCCTGGTCAGGGCACATGCCCAGGGTTGCAGGCTCCATCCTCAGTAGGGGTCGTGCAGGGGGCAGCCCATCGATGTTCCTCTCTCACACCGATGTTTCTCTCTCACACTGATGTTTCTCTCTCCCTCTCCCTTCCTCTCTATCTAAAAATAAATAAATAAATAAAACAACACCCATTAAAATAAATAAATAATGATCCACATGAGTTCTACAGAAGAGCGGTGAGCTAACCCAGGCTAGAGAAGGCTGTTTGCTTTCATAAACAGAGTTCCGCTGGCACGCGGCCAGGCCACTGGTTTCTGAGCTGTCAGTGGCCACTTTGGTGCCACAGCACAACAGAGCAGCTGCTTCGAACACCGTGAGGCCCACGAAGTCCAAAACATCTACTATCTGAGAAAAAGTTTGCTGACCTTGCTACAGAACAATACAGAGAGAGCAGCCATGCTACTTTAAGAGGAAAAAAATACAAGGTGAGCCCTGGCCGGTTTGGCTCAGCGGTTGGAGCGTCGGCCTGCAGACCAGAGAGTCCCGGGTTCCCGCTAGGGGCACGTACCAAAAAATAAATAAATAAATACAACATGGTACTTAAGTTGAATGTAAACCCATACATTTTTTTTTTAAATGAAGTATGGTGTTTTAAAATGGAAATGAAAGGTGAAATGAGTCTCTGGGTGGGATTTTCTTGGTTATTTACCAAATGGAGATGGTTATATAAATTTTGTGAAATTAACCACTTTAAAAAATACTCTTATTTCCTAAGAATGAGACTCACCCTACAAAGTCCTAGAAGAAGTTAACTATGAGGAATGGTCCAGGTGTCACTAGGGGCTGCTAACTTGGATCCATCTGGTATTATGGTTACACTTCCTGAAAACAATCATTATTATTTACATAACTTATTTTATATTTTGCTGTTCTTTCATTTATTTATCAAATATGTAATGGGCACATAATATTTCCCAGGCACTGTGTAAAGCACTAAAAATGCACGTACATATGCATTGATGAGGCCCCAGCCCCTAAGTAGTTTGGAATTCAATGAAGTAAACAAACATGTAAATAATTCATTGCAACATCATGTGGTTCAGCAAGTTAACCATGCTTGGAGGAGTCCGAGAAACTTCCCCATCTATGCAAAAATTTAGATCACAGACAAAATGACTTTCCCAACGTACCAAAAGAGCTAGGGGCATTCAAAGTAGAAGAAATAGGCCCTGTTTCTCATCAGTGTGGTTTTGCTCACCTAGTTGGGACAACTGAGTCATAGTTATAAGCATGATGGTTAACACCAAATAAACTTCCCCTGTGAGAAGAAGGCTGAGTTATTATTGAGAGGGGGGAAAATCACCAGAGCATGACTGATTCTGTTCCAGTCCCTTGATCACTCATATTTGTTCAAGGGCTCTCCGCTCCCCTTCATCATCATTATTACACACCCACTGGACCTTAACATGTACCTCACTTCATACTTCATAGCAGTTCATAGATTACTTATAGATGCTAGAGGTTCAAGAGAACATAGGTAATGCAGTCTCAGATGAGAAAAAAGAAAGACCAAAAGAAGGTGGTCAAACTAGAATGTATAATCAAGGACTTCCAGAAGCAAGCATTCTTCTCAGTACCACATACCACTTTTTCATACACTTTGTCTTCACACAAAGAGCTGGAGAAGTAGACACTGAGTCAATTGCCGAAAACACTGAGAGAAGATACTAGAATCCTCACAGCAAAGGCTAAAAACCCAATTTGCAAAGAGCTGCCATCTGTATCATTTGAGCCTCACAATGATTCCTTGGGATAACAGATATTATATTTCTCATGGGGGAAAAAAAAGTGGCTCTGCAAAGTGAAATGGAGAAAACATTCAAATATGGATTGACAGGTTACAAGGATCTTTCCTTAAAACAAAACAAATAAAAACTGAGGTCCAAATTGTTGCCCAAGGCCCCACTCTAGAAGCACTAACAGCCATTTGCCATTGTCCAAGTGCCTTGAAGGACATGGTCTTCAGGTATGATGACCCAGTCGGGATCCAGCTCTGCCACTCGCTGGCTGTGTGATCCTCAGCAAGTTACTTGTCCTCTCTGTGCGTTTGGTCTCCTCATCTATAAAAGCAGGATAACAGCCTCCACCTGATAGAGCCTGTTGTGCATATACTAACCCATTTGGTTTTCAAAGCAGTCTATGAGGTTACTCTTTACATGCACATACACACACATGCACACACGCACAAACAAGCATTGTGAGAAGAGGATTTTTGTTTCTTCAGTGAGTAGGATACTGTCTGGCAGTCAGAACAACAAATGCCAAGTCCTGTTTCAACAGTAACACAGAAACTCAGAAGAAATACAAAGTTTAAAATTATGAGAAGTGTGGTGCTGCCACAGTGTCAAAGATCAAATTCTTCCTAGTGTTACTTCAGACGTCAGTTCTCCTCTTCAAAGCTCCGTGTCCCTGTCAGTAACTTCAGCTGGACTTAGAAGTTCCAATGTATCTCTTCAAGCTTCCTAATGGCACAGTCCTTACTTACATCTATTTTTTTTCCTATTTAATATTCATAAAGCCTGGTTAACAGTTCTTAGTTTAGACACACTCTTTTTTTTTTTTTATCCTCACCCGAGGTCATTTTTCCACTTTTTATTCAGATAGAGCAGGAGGGAGGGAGAGGAAGAGAGAGAGAGAAACATCAATGTGAAAGGGACACATCGAGTGGCCGCCACCCGCATGACCCAACCAGGGCCGGGGACAAACTGCAGCCAAGGTACGTGCCCTTAGCGGGAACCGAACCCGGGTCTCTCAGGACCGCAGGCCGACGCTCTAACCGCTGAGCCAAACCGGCCAGGGATAGACACACTCTTTTTAAATTTATTTTTCTTTATTGAATATTTTGAGAGAGAGAGAGGAAGGGAACGGAGAGATAGAAATCTCGATGAGAGAGAACATCAATTGGCGACCTCCTGCATGCCCCGCACTGGGGATCAGGCCCTGACCGGGAACCAAACCAGCAACCTCTTGGTGCATAGGTCGACGCTCAACCACTGAGCCACACCAGCTGGGCTAGACACTCTTTGTTTACATATTTGGGAGTATGTATATACCTAAGGATCCTAAATAATCCTTAAAAACTACCACTGTTTTTATTGTTTTAACTCAAATGTACAAAGGAAGCTACCCATTTGTGTACCATTTTTGATACATTACATTGATTAAATTATTTTCATTTTAAATTTTATTTTATATTGTTCTACACTTTTCTCCAATCTAAAATAAGTCAAGATTTTTATTAGAACCTGAAATTACCTTAGAAAAGGTAGGATGGGCTATAACACC